GGTGTTTTTGAACATGTTGCGCAAGAATAGGGGATGAGGTTTCTATGAGAAATGAGTTGTACAAGTAAATGTGCGTTATCTTTCTTTGGCGAATCCATGGCGTGTTTGATGCATCTATGTTGGAGTTGATGGATCAATGCGATTAACTTGGGGGGATGCGTCGGTTGTGGCTGCGGGAGGCGGGAGGCGGTTTTAGCTCCCGTTTGGAGAAGAAAGTGGAGGGGATCTAGAAGTATCGGAACGAGTCTGGAAATGTTTACTACGCATGAAGACAAACGCGATGTGGGGATATTTTCTTTATCCGTGTGAGATGATGTCTAAAGAATGGATGAGTATGGCGAACGAATTTTTTCCGATTCGTAGGCCTGGATGTGCCTAAGCCGTCATCACCATCAACAATCCTGAACCTGACATGCCAAGGGGTGAAAATAAAAACTGGACAATTACACCTCCTAGTTTCTGACATTGCTGTCTGTTTCTTTTATTTGTACCTATTTCTCTTGTGTCTGTCTATTCCCCCTTGTACCTACCTGTTCCTCTTGTATCTGTTTATTCCCCTGGTTTCTGTCTGTTCCTCGGATAGTTATTACACAATTACCCACTTTGCCATGGATAGGCTCAGATCCGGCGTTTTTTTCTTCTCCTGCGTGTATGCCTACAAGGCTTGGATAGTGAAATCATGTGTGACAGGATTCTCTTATATTTGCTAGATACAATCATGGCGTCTATTCTGTTCTTCACTTCATACATTTCTTGACAATGACATACTAGTCTCAGTGTTTGTAAACTTTCCATTTGTCCACCTATTTCCTCCTTCAATGGTGACGACCTGGTAGTTTTGCGTTCCCAAGTTCATGCCCTGCGATGCCCATGCCTGGAAGTGATTCTGAATGGTGACTGTTCCACTGGTCCTCGGGGAGTTTCGGATGGAGATGTACTGGTTGAATGTCGCCGTGCCGATAATGGAGGGCGCATTGACACGCTGATTCTCCCAGATTGTGTAGCTCGATCCATCACTGGTGACGCTGCCCTTTACCACGTCGCTGGTGGGGAAATTCTTGCTGCTCTCAGTGTAGCATGTACCGAGCTCAAGAGACACTCACTTATTCATGAGTGTAGTCGTAGATGTCTGATATCAACATTCCTAGTCTATATAATGTGTCGCTTTGTCTAGGACCAGATACTCTTCACACAACAACACCTTGTACTTGTGTGCCTTGGATAATCCATCTTCTCGATCTAAACATGCCGTCATCTCTCAACGCCATTCTCCTTTCGCTTGGCCAAGCTCTTCTTGTTGCCACCAACCCGATCCAGACCGAGAAGCGAGCATGTCCATCAATCCACGTTTTTGGGGCTCGAGAAACCACAGTAGGGCCAGGCTATGGCTCTTCTGCGACTATCGTCAACCTCATTTTAAGCTCCCACCCTGGTGCGACGTCCGAGGCCATTAGCTACCCAGCCTGTGGCGGACAAATAATTTTTTTTCGCACTTATCCCCCCTCGTAACCATTCTCCCTCAAATCATGGGCGACGGATATGGACAGCGAGGAATCCATTGCCAAAGGCCGTATTCTCACCCTGAACTGTGTTGCCTCTTGTGCAAACGTCCATGATTCGACCGGCTGCGCGTGCGACGTCGCCGCTATAGCTTCAATTAGCAACTACTGAGCACGGAGCTCTTCGGAACTTGAACCTACCATTTGGAAGAAGTGCCGCCTTCGCTAGGAGGCTTACCACTCACGCCCACGATCTCTGAAAGTCCAATCTTGCAGAACGAGCTGGAACCACCAGCCGCTACCGAACACATCTTCTGAGATTTGGAAGCCAGAAAATTTATACAGGCGACTGAATCCTGAACAGAGGCAAATGTGTTCTTGACGGTGTTGCATACGACACCACGCTTGCCCAGCTTGCTTTTTTCTCTCCCTCACCGTCTGCGTTGCCTAATTAGTGTTGCTCTGGCAGTCTTGAAGAGGTATTCTTACCAGCAAATCTTACTGAAAGAACACCATCGGGAATAGGATGAGATCCCTCTGGGTCCTTGGCAACGCTGTCTGCCCAGGATTCGAAAGAAAAGGTGGGAGTGGCAACAGAGCGCACTTCGTACTCGGCCGGAACAGCACTAGCGAATTGAGCAGCAGCCAAAAGACTAACAGCAGAAACAATAAAGTTGACCATCTTGTCAAGGTTCAAAATGCCGTAAATATGTTATTATGTTGTGCTTGTTGATGGAGCTGTGTGTGGCTAGTTGTGTGATGATGACAAGCACTGACAAGAGGATTTCTTGGCACCTTTATATATCGATGGACAAGATTGAAGCTCAACCATCATGATCTTGCAGTTGCATGTGTTTGAGCAATGAATGAACATTGCGATCAGACTTGGCCACACTCGGCGCCACTGCCAGCATCGTGGGCAAAAGTTCAGATCTGCTGTTAGCGACATCCTTCGTTTCAAGCCTCGATTTCTCGATTTAGAACAAAACCCTCGAATCAGCCTCTTGAACATGAGATCTGTGGTAAAACACCATCGATATTCTTAGATCTGCTTTGTAAAGAACGCCAAGGATTCAGACGTCTGCAGCTAAATCACCTTTGGCGTCCCCGCGATGTCAACATTTGGCCAAGCACAGAACCGGCGCATGCATCGCCACAACCCATCGCTGCCCTAAACAAGTTTAGTAGCAAACCCAACCAAGTTATCGCGCCTCTTAGGTGTGACCTTTCGATCCCCCAAAATTGCAAGCCAAAAAGCGGCTGATGATTCTGCTGGCGGTTGTTTTGCCGCGGTGCCGGGGCAGTGTTGCGCTTGTGGGTTGATCGTCAATGTGATGCTGGGATACGCATCCGTCCCGCTTAGGGAGACGGAGACCTAGCTGCTCTGCTCGCAATATAGCGGGCAAGGAGATGTGCTTCTGCGAGTGACAAGCCGTTCTCATAGGATGCTAAAAGATTCACTAACTAATAGTAGTACAAAGTATTAATATTGTATTGTACATGAGCAGTGTGCTCGCAGGATATTCAGTACGTATGCAGATACAACCTAGGCATAAGTACGTCGGTTATATCGAGACCTAGCTAGACAATATATCGATTCCTGAATCCCTCGTACATCACCCATAGTGCGCTACAGCAGCTACTTTGTGTCGTTGCTGTTTAACACTACCCTATGTCCTGCTAGAATCATGGATGTCAATATCCCTAGATGGGCTAATCGTTGTTAGAGTAAGCAACAGTAGATAATAGAAAGGTAGGAGGGATGGGAGATTTTTAATAAAGTCATCTCGGAGAACAGAGCGACGCGGATTCATAATCATTCACCACGGCCGTTGAACCTTCCCTTTACGGTACTTATCTAGGAGGAGCGTCTCCAGCTCCCAGTCTCCCCATTTCTTAACCTGCGACATGCTGACCACCTCGATCAACAGTGTCTCTCGCTCCCTGGACAGTGCACGCATAGCTTTCATCCACTTGTTCTTGTCTTTGTGCGCCGCGTAACCACATTCTGGAATACGCAGCGTCCTCAGCTTGGGAGCCCAACTCGGATGCTCACGCAGAGCGTCGAAGGAGGCTTCCTTGATGGTACCGGCAGCTTTGTACCCGGTGATCTCTATGGAGGTTAGATCGACGCAGTTGGAGAGGAAGGCGATGAGTGTGGTGTCAGTTAGTCGGCTCGCGTCCACCCCTTGCAGCTTGACGACACGTAGGCTGGGGCACATACGCGCCAGTCGCACCGTGGCGTCATCGGTCAGTTCGTTCGCGTTGTGCGCATCGTAGCTGACGTCGCTGTGCAAAAATTCGAAGTGTGTTAGGCCGCGGCAGATGCCTGGCCCTGAGGCAAGATGCTTGATGTGTTGGCTTGGAGATTGCCTTGATAAGCTAACTGTGCTGCATGGACGTTCAGTGAGACTTGGGAAGCTTACTCAGTCAAGACAAAAGCGTGGCCAAATGACAGCTTCTTCGTTCGGGCAGCCAATTTATTCTGCCAGCCTTCCTCCCATTCCCTATCAGAGACGAAATGAACCTCCTTTTCCCCCTTTGAGACAGACCGGATTGCCCTGAAGGCGTCAACGGGCTTCTTCGGGGAGGATGGGGCCGGGGCCGGAGCCGAGCTAGAGGCTGATATGGACTCAAGAAGTGGAATTTCCGGAGGTGCGTTCGAATTTGGAAGAGCTCCAGCCGGAGCTAGACGAGCTTTTGCTAAATTGAGCGGCGATGCTAGCATAGACACTTCCTTAGTGGCCACATGCACTAAGTTCTTTATCCTGGGCTGCTGTGCCATTCTCGTTGATGACGAGTTCTTCCTCGGTGTCCGAATTGGCGGCATTGGCGCGATTGATTTGGAAGCTGGCGCGGAGGCTCGTGGCGTGAAATGCAGCTGGTTGCTTAACGTCGACGTCTTGAAGCGATTAACGGGCGATAAGTGTGAAATTCGCAGGATCGAAAAGGGTCATGAAGGGAATTGGAGAGCTCAGGAGTTTGGAATTATGTGGGACCCCGCCCGCGACCCGACGCAGGTACCGTCGAGCTGAAAGACTTCCATTATTGGAGATGGTGTAAACAAAAGAAACTTTCTCTACCAGGAATAGATCAAATGCAAAGTGCAACCGGAATATCTATTCTGGATCACAGTTTGCTGCAGAATGACCTCTTATCGCAAGTTTCTTCATGTCCCTGGAGGTAACATCAAGAGCTCGGGCATTTGCTTTAACATGGCTATCCCTGTCATCTTCTGCCACATCCATTCATTATTCCAATACCGGCGGGGGTTTCCGTCACGTAGACGAGAGGTTCTGTGGCTCAAGCATGAGAAAGTTTGTGGCTTGACCAGTAGCATCAGACAAAGCATTGAAGCTGGAGAAAGCCAAGCACCTCCCGGAAGGTACCACGTGTGACACAGTATCGAGCTAGTCTCCACTTACTAGGGTACAACGCATATATACCGCAATATCGCATTCCCTGCCATCCAACAACCTCCAGCCACCGGCTGAGGTGATGGGCCGCGTGGTCTAGTGGTATGATTCGTGCTTTGGGCTCCTTTAAACAGCGCCTATGCACGAGGCCCCGGGTTCAATCCCCGGCGCGGCCCTTTTTTAACGTTTGTTTGCGTTCTTTCATCTCTTTTTGCATCTCTGAGCACATATTCAGCATTTCTGGTGGTGTTTTCGATGAACTTCAGGATCAAGTCGACTCAATGCCGAAAGTGGGGTATTTGATAAGCGATAAGCTGTCTGCCGGCGCTAACGGGTAAACGTCGGAACTACATTCAGCATACTGCGAAGTACCATGATGACCCCTCACTTCCACAATTTCTTTTTGCGACGATGTCGAAAGTTGGGAATTTTGAAAGCAATGCATTTATTAGGGAAGAGCAAATACATTAAGCCACTTGTTAATCTAATACTCAAGTCATGATAAAATAGTAAGCCTGTCAGGTTTATCTTGATGTACATGTCTGAACTCAAAACTGTACTTGAATGAAGGTATTTCAACACCGCCACTACTTCAAACAGGTCGAAGGTCTTCGTCCTGTCGGAAGCGTAGCAGCCGTCACTACCATGACTTCTAGATGGTCTGACCTTAGACGAACAGTAACATCCAATCCAACTTCTTATAAGCTTGCCTTCTGCGCTCGCGAAGGCCGTCCTTCGGGCCACGGCCAATTCTATCCAAAATTCCATCGTACTCTTGCTATCAATAGCCCAGCATTTCATACTACAACACGATCAACGTCTGCGCAATGATGATTAGAAGAGAGCGTAACATACCCTCTGACGATTGCGACGGACACCTCTGTTGTGAACTTTAGACCCATTCGCCTTTTCTGCCTCGGCCATCGCGACCTCTACGGGCGGAGTTCATGGCCAAGTATGGCTAGTATATATGTGTGATAATGGGAACACTGAGAACTTGGAAAGAGCTTGATGCTGAGGGCCGCGATAAGGAATGAGTAGGAAGGCAAAGGTGAATAGATTTGCGCTTTGATGCCGCTCTTATCTTTCGCTGATCCCAACGACGCTATAGGTACCTGGATGCTGTTAGGTTCTGCCTCGATGGCAACGGATGGCATGATTACCGAGATCCATGTTGATGTTGATAATGAGTTGAGAATTAGCGAGCTGGCTTGTGTTGGCCTACTGGCATTATTATTAACAGTTGTCAATAACTCCCTGACGACGGGAGTCACCTCGTTTTCCAGCTTCACATTGTTCTCACTCACCAGTTCAATTTTTAAGACGAATTCCCAAGTTTCCCGACCCTATGTCTAAAATCTTATCCTATCACTACCATCAACGCTTATATTCCCATAACAGTCTACTGTGCTCATTATGTTTCCAGGTACCTAGGAAGCAGACACTTTGAGCAGTCGTCCGGTCATGGTGTTCCCTCATCGGGAGCTATCGGGGCCTGCCGGACACAGTCGCCGAGCTACCTGTGTTCACTGAAACCCTCATTCAGCTATATTTATCTGGTTTCGAAGGATTCAACGATTCAGTATCGCAAGAAGATAGTTAACGACCAATAGAAACGAGTAGCAACAGCGGGTAACAGCGGGCAACAACGGGCACGAGTGGCAACGAGTGGTAACGAGGGTAATCGAGAGCAACGAGGGTAATCGAGAGCAACGAGGGTAATCGAGAGCAACGAGGGTAATCGAGAGCAACGAGGGTAATCGAGAGCAACGAGGGTAATCGAGAGCAACGAGGGTAATCGAGAGCAACGAGGGTAATCGAGAGCAACGAGGGTAATCGAGAGCAACGAGGGTAATCGAGAGTAATAGCTAGGGTCATTTACCATTCACAAAGCAAACCATCAATTAGATATACAAGTTATTTCCCGGCCCGCAGACCATTTCTATGAAGTTCCTTGGAGCGATAAGAAGAAGAAAAGAGAAACAGAACAAAACAAAAGAAGAAAGGAAAGATTAATATACTTGTACCTTCGTCTCCCACGTTGACATCTCATGCCTTCTATTCGAGCATTGGGGTCGCTGCCCCGGTTGGTCATGGAGTTGGTGGCTCCCGTTTAATGGGTACACTGTCCCATGCTGTGTTAAGGGGGTCGCTGCCCGATCCTTCTGCCATGGGCTCACTGTCCCGTTCATTTTTAATAGGGTCGCCGCCCCGTTCCGCCTTCATAGGGTCGCTGCCCTTGGGTTCGCTGCCCAAATATTCTTCTTCTTTTCCTTCTTCTCCTTCCTCTCTCTTAGTGGGGGCGCTGTCTCCATCCTCATCCTTGGGCTCACTGTCCCCCTTTCTCTTCCTCTTCCTTCTGCGGCACTACCGCCATCCTCCCCCGGGGCAACACTGCCCAGGTCTTCCACGCGTGCTTCGACCATCGCATCCATCTCCTCCAGAAACTCCCGCACTCGCTCGCGTGGCAGCTGGGCCAGATGAGCCCTCAAATCCTCCATGCGTGTCAGATAACAAGCATTTTGCCAATGCCCCATTTCGCCACACTGTAACAATGATTAGTGACTAGAAAAATAGTTAGGGGTTTTCTGGACACGTACGCGATAGCACGGCCCTCGATTAGGGTCGTGCCGGCGGATACCACCACCAGCATTCGGCGCGAGGGCTCCTCTGCCCCATCCGCCTCCTCCTCTGCCTCCTTGGCCTCTACCTCTTTGGCCTCCTTGGCCCCTTCTGCCCCCTGCGCCTCCTCTGTGACCACCATGGCCGCCGTGGCCGCCATTACCCCCTCTTCCATAACCACCAAACACTCCACGGCCTCCCCCTCTATAACCACCACGACCCCCGAGGCCTTCTCCTTCATACACACCATGCCCTCCATAACCACCGGGCCCTCCATGGCCTTCCCAACCATAGCCACCATGACCACCTCTTCCTCCTTGGCCTCTTTGCCCTCCACCCGCATTGTGGCCACCATGGCCACCATTGCCGGCATAGCCTCCCCCTCCGTAACCACCGGGTCCTCCTCGTCCTCCTCTTCCATAACCACCACGGACCCCGGGGATACCAAACCCGCCAGGGGCACCTTGTCCACCTGCTCCGTCTTCATACCACATCTGCACCACGTCATAAAGTCCCTGCTGTTGGGGGTTCATCTCTGAGACTTGTTAGCACATATACATATGCTGCATGTAATACGGATAAAGGTCATCAAATATAAACTGCAAGTCCTGTGGTTCAAACAAGACGTAAAATCAGGAAGGATAGGAAGAGAAGACAGTGGGAAGGGAATCCAACGTCAAATAATGTAGAATAAAAACCTACTGTCAGACAGTGCGGCTGCCCTTGAGATGCTTGCTAGTCGGTGTCAGTTGCTGCTGGTCTGTTATGACTTCTGTGGACTTGCGTTGTTGGTAATGGAAGACTTTGCTTCCAGTGAGAATTTCGATGAAATCTGTCACCAACGTCGTCAGCATGGATCAATTACCGTTTTCTTTTCTTTTTTCTCATCATTAACTTACTTGTTGATGATGTTGATGATATTAATGTTGTCACTGTGATGATCTCGCATTAGATGGGCGATGGTTGATAGTGGCAGTGATGCCTACTTACCGAAATGTGATGGTGGTGATGATGGAAAAAAAGGGAAAAAAGCCTCGTCCTTTTAATTTTGAATCCATCTTTTGTGGGCTGCGTAATGGTACTGCCTTGGTATGGCTACCGCCCTTGGCAGCTGGCGACTGTTGACAGCTGTCAGTGTTCAGATTCTCCTCGCCTCGAGTTAACAGTCCGATACAGCTGGCAGCTGACTTGCGTCATTTCGCTTTCTATAGAGTTCGGGGGTAGCAAATCAAGTTGAAATCGCCTTTCTATAACCTGATACTAGATACAATCAATGTTTCGAGGTTACAAGTTTAGTATTGCTTAATATTCTGCAGCATGAAATAGTCATGTTAGATGCTGGATTGTATTGGCAGAAGCCTGTATCTCCAAGTGACACTCATATCTATTGACATTGATGCCATTGGTCTCCATAGGTATCTTCTGGTTCTGCAAGGTTCCAGTACGATCTAGCAAAGAGTATTTAGAAGCTTCCGTTGGGATGATAAATCGAGGCCAAGTCCAAAGAAGTCGTCAAATATAATTGAAGGCTGGTCCCTCTATTTTCCACTCTCAATGCAGTTAGCTTTCAGAGTGCAAACATCTTAACAATCCCACCACGAAAGAAGTGTCTGGAGATGACATCACTTCATCATGGCGATGGTGAGTCACGTAACCCCTTGCCAACACCCCAAATGTGCAAATCCATCAACAAGGGCATTAGTTGACGTAGAAAGATACCTGATCAATCACTGAGGAGATTTTAGTTCAATTACCTAGATAAGAGGAGCTCCAAGTAGCAAAAGAACAATTTATGATGTTCCTCTTCGCCAGTATAGAAATCCAACACAGACATTACAGAGAGCCGATTGGGTTTGAACAACGAGTCTCTTTGCAAAAGAACTTGTATTGCATGAATATCCGAAATGTTCTTTATTAAGAATCTTTTTTCTCTTTGGAAGCTTTCCGGAAGGGAGCATTTATTCCCAGGATCTCGTTCTTCCAATATTCCAATATTCTAATATTCCAATTGGTCGTCCGTTTGAAGCCTTGGATTGATTCACAAGCCAGTTTGGCAGAAAAGCTTCAATTCGCAGATTTGGTTTCTCAAACTTCTTAACAAAGAAGCGCTTCCATGTTAAAGATGTCATTAGCTAGGATATAATTGCTCAGTTCATCCTTCTGCTGTGACGCGTCTCTCACTCTTGTTGGTAATATCACGAACTTTAGACCGAAGCTTTGAGCGCATCTCAGTCTACAGATGTTGAATTGATAGTTAATCATTCCATCTTTATGAGGTGGTCTGATGCGGTCGTAATTTTATCGCAGTCAAAGCGCGGAGTGAAGTCTGGAATGCATGGTGAGGATGCTCGTTACGTAGTAGCAGGTGGGTGACTCATCGTAACGAAAACAAATGCCAGGCGTGAATCGCGTACCAATACCATCTCTCTCAGCATCGATATGCTAGATTTCTTTTTCAATGCGATTAGAAAGTAATGAAGAATCGAGAATCAAATCAAAATTTGTTTGATCATTGAGATAGAGCTTTGATTGCGCAGCAGTTGATGAAGGCGAA